CTGATAACCACACGTTACTCATGTTGTGCATTCAAAAACTCTAGTGACATGTCTCATGACGGAAGGTGTACAGTGCTGTGCAGCTCCTTAATCAGAGAAAAATAACTGAGAATAAACGGTTTATGCCTGGAGTTGTCCCTCTGAATGTTTACATGCAGCAGCTACAGTGGACTTTGGGAATGCATGTGGATGAAGCCTTTCCAGGGATGTTTTAATGTTGTCTCATTTTGAAGCTGGAAAGTCTGATGTCTGAGTAGTAAGAAAATGCACCGCGAAACCCCCGACTTCCTCTCTGGGACATTTACCTTAAAGGGGAATCATAGTTAACTTTTCTGACTTGGGATGTGGAAAGTGTGACGTTCAGGAGCACATAAGATTATAGGAGGAGCAGAACCTCTGGAGTTTCTATTGGTGGATACAGAATAAGTATCTACACACCCTGCAGAGGTCTGCCACAACTTGTAATATGTTCCTTCATTATCAGTGCAGATTTTTCTTCATGTTACTTATTGCAGTTGAGGACTTTTAACAATGTTCCTTTTAACTGTATGTCTGACTTAAAGTTCCCAAGTGTGAAGTCAATATTATGTTGCTCTTAAAGCCTGCGTGAGCCAGTGAAAGGCTACCGGACCTCGCAGGACACCGCTGTTCAAAACAAAAGAGCTCAGTGTGCCCCTACCAGTTCCTCCAATTATCAGGACCCCTCCCCCACTTGGTTCTGACCTTTGCTCTTTGATGGGCCCCACTTTACTCTTCCCCCTGAAAACCAAAATTCCACAAGTGAGGTATGTTCTTTGTGCTCAAGAAATTAAGGTGAAATTAACCTGCTTGTGTTTTACATCTTTTATCCTCCAGTTCCTGAACCTAGAGGGTAGCAGATCTGTAAACCAAAAAAAAAAAAGTTTTTTTTCTTGGATGCACACAAAAGGACCGTTGCACATTACATGTTTTTTTTTTAATATATATATATATAAGTCACTAGGAATACAAAGGGGCTTTTCTTCAAATGAGTTTTACTTTCTTTGCCCATACAGTTTTCAGTGTCTTAAAAAAAAGTGTTTCTAATACTGTGAATGGAAAGTGTGGCAAACAGAGTGGCTGGCAGAAATAGGAGGCGTACAAATGACCACATCACATTTCTTTTCCATTTTTTTACAGTGACATTTCCTACTTCTCTTACCTGCAGAATGAACAGGGTGCTTACTCTTTTTTGTGTTTGTTTTGCTGTAGGTCAGTTGCAAATGGAAACATGTTTGAGGTAGGCAAATGAAGAGAAAAAAAAGACAGGAAATGATCTCACAAACAATCCCCTTCTCTTTGATTGCTCCCATTTTCCATTTGCAGAGAAAGTGAGTTATGCTTTCTGCTGTAGCTTTTAAGCCTGCTGCACAGATCCCAGGCTACTGTTCGACGGATTTTAACATTGAGGCTTTCGGGTTGTTGTCTGCCAAGATTTTACTTTTTGCAGCAGTGATGCATATACTGTAGTTTATTGCTCATATATACTTTTACATATTTAAAGTGCACTGCTTTTGGGGAACAAGATAATTTCTAATCTTTTTCCGATGTTAATCAGACACATATCCTTAACGATTCAACTAAAAACCAAACAAATCTGCAACAGAAAACTTATGACAGTTTATAAAAGTAGCTTATATGTGATCAACCAACCTTAAAAAAAGTTCTTCCAATTCATTCAACGTCTGTGGATGTCTCTGGATGACATCCATTTTCACCTGACTTCTGTAACTTTGTTATTTTGACTCACTTTGAGACTTTGTCACACAACCGATTCCAAAAAGATCAGTCTAAATGTTGATTGGAGTCTTTTATTATTAATCTCCCTCGACAGACCATGATGCTGTTATCTCCATATTTACCTGTAAGCATGATGTTGTTTTGGGGGGATGAGCAGCTGTGACCCAAAAAAGGTCCAGCTGAATGCAGCTGTTTACGATAACACAGAGAACCCAATCACTTATAGTAAGAAAATACTTGTTCAGTGTTACTGATAGCTGTTTGGCAACTTGACTGACTAGTTTTCATCTTCTATATTCCTGCATCTTGGAAAAAAAACTTCGATTTTCTACCGTTTCCAAATATTTTCCCCACTTACTGACTGTCCTAATTGTATAATGCTGGGTGTAGAGAAAGTATGTTCTGAATATTTTTGTTTAATCTTCCCCTGAACGAAATCTTTGTACAATGAGATTATTTTCACCCTATGCAACAACACTGTAAACTATGGCTTAGCTAAATAAGAGAATATAGGGAAATTCCTGAACAGATCAAACTCCCTTCAAGTTAATCAGATTCTCTGCAGTTGAATGGTAAATGCAAACTCAATAGGGAATGAAGTCTGTAACTGAAAGCATGTTCCAGTATACTTAACTTTTAGCATTGGGACACTTTTCTTCTCGGGTTATAGCAGCTTTTTGATTCTTGTTAATTATAATAAGTATTTAAGTTAAAGTAGGATAATTTTGGAAATAGTTCATCATGGTCTGAAATTTTAGAAGCATGCTTATGTTGAGAGACCATCTTTCTAAAAAAAAAATGTATGTATCACCATTGTTCCACAGTAAATACAGATTCAACATAAGAAATGGTGACATGAAGAAGAATCTAATCCGTTGAAAAACCGGCTTCTACTCTGTACACAACCTTTTGATCTTTAAGAGTAATTACACTCCTGGTAATTATATTCTAGCTGAATGTGGCGTAAATGGCAACATAGGGCCTAGAGGCTTCTTTGGAGTCAGTAAGATATCAGTTTGAAACAAATGGAGACTGGAACTGACACAGGGTGAGATAGATTTTCAGAGGCTTCAAAAGTAGAGCGGAAATAGCGTCAAGGTAGACGGCTAGAATGTACTTAGGCAGGTCCAGGGAATATTTAGCATGGTTTAAAACAAAGACTTTGACTGTGTTATAGGTGGGGAGCACTGCAATGTTTTTAATGATGAACTTATTGGGTGAAGAATAAATTGTTGCAATAATGACTAAATGGTGAATGTTAAACAAACATGTAAGGCAATAAGTGAGACAATGACAGAAGTGGCAGAAGTTCAAGTTGAAATAATTTTTTCGGAAGATAAATGCAGCTACCTACTATAAGTCTTCTTGACATTAAAGATCTTGACATATATGACAAGATAAAACAAAACTTCTGGCTTAATTTTCAGAAAATATTAAATTCATACTGCTTGATTTTTTAAAACTAATTTTTTTTTTAATTATGAACAACAACGTTAGTGTTCAACTGAACAATAGATAAAAAACCAAGTAAAGCATAACTGTGAGTGTGAGAGCAATCATTCTCACCGTAGTCAATATTTTGAAGATGGACTCAGACCTGAACCTTCAGAAGCAGATAAAGGCAGTTACTAAGTCAGCCTTTTATCACCTGAAGAACATTTCAAGGATTAAATGACTAATGTCCAAGCAGGATCTAGGGAAACTCATTCATGGATTTGTCTTTATTACAACTGATACTGCAAGAGTGTCCTTATAGGTTTGCCTAAAAGGTCCATCAGAGAGCTGCAGCTGATCCAAAACGCTGCTGTACATGTTATTACTAGAAATAAGAAAGTAGAACACGTCAGCTCAGTTCTGAGGTCCTAACATTGGCTCCTTATTGTTTAGTTAATAGTCTTTAAAACCCTTCGGTTAGTCTATAAATCACTAAATGGATCAGCATCTAAATACATAACAGAATTGTTTTCAGTGTATCAACCTCCCAGACCATTCAGGTCTTCTAGTTCCAGTCTACTCTGTCCACCCAATATCAGGACCAAACATGGAGAAGCAATATTTTGTTCCTATTCTCCACTTATCTGGAATGAATTCAGAAGACTGTAAAAGTGCTGAAAGCTGAGTTCCTTTATATCAAAGTTAAAAACAAATTTGTTTAGATCTGCCTTAGACTGTTAAAGTTAAACTGTTAACTGAGGTTTAATTGGTCTAAGTTTGTGGTCCAACTGTTTTATTTACTTTACTACCTGCTTTTATTCAGATTCTATGCTCCTTCTTTTTCACTGTTTAATCATGTAAAATACTTTCACCTGTCTGTACTGAAATGTGCAATGCAAGTACCCTTGCCTTGCCTTAGTACAAAATCCTTGTGTCAAAAAAGATTCTTGTGTACCTTCAATTTAGAAAGTACACTGAATATTTACAGGAGAAAAAAGAACATTTTATGAGGCTTCTCTCCAGACCTTTGGACTAGTTTCCTAACAAATTTACAAATAATATGATTGTTCATCCATTATTCATTTTTTATTTACAATAGAACATCTGATCACTGTTAACCAAGAGATATTTAGAAATAAACTCAAGCTGTAAAAACAGAAACAATCAATTTATTGTAAAGTTAAAGTTGCTAGACTAAATGCATGCTAACTACTTTAACTTTTTTAGAGGATGTCAATCCTCCAGATTACAAGATTAATTTCCTTTTAATAAATTGAAGGTGTAAAAGTTCTGCTTATTTGTGTTGGATGAGCAATGGTCTGTTCTTGCAGAAAGTATAAAGCCACTTAATCTGGTGCAGATTCGAAGAGTTAAATAAGGAAAAGAGGTGTGGCCACCAGTTATTCACACCGTCACACTATTCCGTTTTTGTGTGTAATTTGACACCTTATTTCTGCAGAACAAACCGCTTAGACAAAAGATGTTGCCTGTGGCCATGTGGTGGAAATACTTACCTCAGTAATATACACTTAAAACGGAGATGTAGAATATATATTTACTATCATGAGTTCAGTAGCTCTTCATTTCAATCCATTGTTTGCATTTAAACATAAAAAAATATATATTTTTGCAATGTTAGGTCAAAAAATATACAACACCGTGTTAAAAACAATCGACCAATCAGTGACGCGATAGTCGGAAGGCGGGAGTTACATCTGATTGACATGACATTCATCCAATCGATGCCCGCAATTGTTGACCTCAGCCAATCAAGTTGGAGATCGAGCCGTGGCGTCCAACGAGAGTGGATTTTCAACGAGACCCAGAGAAAATCTGAGGGGAAGACATCATTTCTCTCTGTGTCTTTGGAGCTAAGCACACGAAGACAACGATACGGAGAGAATTTCAAAAGGATTCTATTTATATAAAATAGTCCACTTAAACTAGCCATGGCCGATACAGCTGTTGATACAACCGCCACCACAGAGGTTACAGCCAAGGTGCGTCTTATTTACTTTGTATTTCTTCCTCGAGGTATCACGTTTAAAAAGATTAAACTAACTTTCTTTTTGGCTTTGAGTAGTTTAACAGAATTTGGCTTAGAAGGTTAATTAGTGAATAATTAGTGAGAAAATTGCTCGATTTAAGTCGAGGCAACGTGAATCTACTAAACCAAAGGTAGATTATCTAAATTAATATTGCCTGGAAATTAGTTTTTCGACGCCAGTGCTCTACGGGGGGTTTCTGTTGTCGATTTGAGGTTATGGAAAAACCGTGGTTTTACCTGTTAGTTTAAAAAAATGCGCTAACATGTTTCGCTTCGAGGAGACAAAGCGGCTGAAATGATGCAGCTGGTGAAGCGGAGCTGCTGTGGGCGGGAAGCCGAAGCGCGTTCACATTGCGCGGCATGGGAACTGAAACGCTCTTTTTCTAAAGTTATTTAGCACGTCGTTCTTGTGTTGTAAACCAGCTTCGTTAATGGCGTTGAAGCAATGTATATATGGAGTGTACTTTCTTTTCTTTTTTTTTTTTTTTAGCGAATACTAACTGAGCTTTTTTTTGTAGGAGCTGAAGGAGAAGAAAGAAGTAGAAGCGGAGGAGGAGAAGACGAACGAAAGCGGGGACGCACCTGCCAATGGCACAGTGAGTCTGCCGCCGCCGCGTGGCCTTTTGTCTTAGCGCCCCTCGGTGTGCAGGTGTCGCTGCACGCCCCGCTCCCCCCTCCTGCTCAGCTGCTCCTTCCACTTTATAGCTTTGTTTGGGTTGTGAAATGGCACAGATGTTACAGCTCCTTTAGACGCATCCATTTGCCCCTCTAGTGCCTCACAGCTTCCTAGTTAATCCTCCTGGGAGGTAACAAGACCTCCATACACTTCCCCTTTTTTTAGTGATCTAAATGACACTTTTTGCTCATCAATTCATCCACGTTTTAAATTCCCTTTAATTTCTTTTTTTATAGAATGGTGCTGAGCACAGTGACAAAAAAGAAGAAACTACAGAGGAGGAGCAAAAGAATGGAGATGGTATGTTGCACTTTTTTAATTTTTAATGCTCTCAGGTTGCAAGTGAAATATTCCTTTTTGCCCTTGATGCAATAATTCCGATTAGTGTTCACCCTTAAGTGCTACCTGAATATAGGTTGTAAAGACTCAATTTATGGTTTGACATCCCTGTCTTTGCAGAAAAAGAGGAGGCGGCGCCCCCTGCTGAGGAGACTGATGCACAGCCTGTGAAGCGCACAGCTGAAGAGGAGGAGGTGAGGCTGAATTGGAATTAATATGACGAATCTGGTGATTTCTCTGGCTCTATTTAATTGATTTTGTTTCCTTTCAGGACAAAACTGAGACAAAGAAGCAGAAGACAGAGGAGAATGGAGATTCAAAAGAGGCAGATGTGGAGGCTTAAGTCTTTACCCTGCTACTTGTTTGCGGCACTGTCCTACCAGCCTGGTCAACAACATTTTGTAGAGCTTGTGCTTTCTATGTTTTTCGAAAGAGATTTTCCTTTTGGTTGCTCCCATGTTTTCACATTGCACTGGAGTCTTTTGAAATGTAGTGGCCCTGCATACTTCTTTTTTATGAAATGTTATTTATTGGTCTTGAAATGAACTTTTTTTTCCTACTTGTTCAAGTTGGGCCACGCCATAAGATCAGTTTTTTCATTTCCTGACGTTTCACATCAGTATATGTTAGAAGCACAATCTCTGTGGAAGTGTTGACCAGGTGTTTCATACATACAGGCAGCTGCTCACCCTCAAGGCTCATTTTTGACCTCTCAGATACATAAAAAAAAAAAGACCAAAGATAAGTTTTAAGCAGGGGATAATAGACAGTTGTCGGCATTATTAGTTGAGGTGTCAATTTTTGTGTTAAGCTGCTACTTAATTCCTGCCTGACCTGTTTAACATAATAGATGGTGCAAATGAGTAAAGGGGCTCTCTTACACCTCCACTGATTGTGTAACCATTTTATTCTGTGGAGGCAGGAGTTTGCAATGTTAATTAACCCCTCTTAAATCTTAAAGCTTTGGTCATTTGTTCTGTATGCATTCCACGCAAGTTTGTACCATTTATACTTGGATTTTTTTTTTTTTTTTTTTTTTTTGCATTTTCAACGAGTTTTGTTATGGTTGAGTAGCCCACTTCTGTGTAGATCGCCTTTTTCATAACCAGAATGGCATTTGGTTACTTCAGCCACTGCTTTGTATATTCTGAGTAAGAAATAAATTTGTCTTTTTACTTAAGTGTCTGTTTTATCTCTGTTAGTAGGTGACTTTTTCTGAAATTACTACTTATAAAACGTGATGTCACTTGACCCATTTTGTGTCTTCAATATGGAAAATGGCTGACTTGGATGGAGGCAAGAAGTAGCAGGGATAATTTTTCTCACTTGGTAATGGAACATGATGCACTGGTTTGCTGCTCTTCTATGGCTCCCCCATGTGGTGTAGAAAAGAATTTAAAGTAGAAATGGTGAAATACAGACTCCTCAAAACTAGTCTGGACCTATTAGTCTGTAGAAAATAGAAACATCTTGACCCCATGTAGGGAAATGGCTAAATCCTCCAGCTCTAGAGGCCTGTTAAAGACCCAGATGTTTTTATTGGGTTGATGCATTTAAAACTTATCAGTTATCCAAAATGGATTTGTGAATTATGATTTTATGATTTTGCTGTTTGAAGCCTGAATTCCAGTTTCTTTGCAAATCTAAATATACCAGTTTATAGGGTTTCTAATGCAGAATTTGTACATCCTGGCAATATAGTTTGAACACTTGGTTGAGTTGCCTTTTGCATGAAGTGTTGTATAAAAACTTCCTTAACACTGCTCTGAAATGGCACTCTGAGCTGTCCGCTTCTTCAGCCATCACCTTTTGTGGCAGACGATCCCAATGAATACTGAAAAAATGTCAGCAGGTGTTACATGATAGCTGGCTAATTCAAAATATAAAACAAACCTCAGATCTAGGATGTGGATGCCAAACAGATGTTGGGTATGATCAAGTCCTCCACTGGTAATTACATCTGATATACATAGATTTTTTTTCTTGTGTGATTTTGAATGCCAGCACATTCAACTTTATACAGAACAAAGTATTTAATTCAGATCTAGGATATGTTAATTGAGTGTTCCTTTTATTTTTAAGCAGTGTGTATGAGCTGCACTTGACTAAAAGCCACTGATATCTACTGAACTGTCCCCCACCAAACTTGTAGGTAGAGCTCTACATATCACCCCTACAGGGCCAAAGAATACCATCTCCTGTTACTTGGTTGGCTTGCGGCAATAAGAGCTAACAAAAGTTTGGGCTTCTTTAGCTCTTTATTTCAGCTCTGCTTGAGTTGCGCAGTCTCTTCATTGGTTTGACTGCTTTAATTTGGCAAATGTGTGAATCTGGAACATTTGTTCTCTGTCTTGCCAGCTGCTAGCCTGTGCTAAATGAAAATTGGCCCCTCCTTCGATTTCCAACTTTTATTTCCGCTCCCTGGCTCTTAGGAGAAATCCACAGAAAAGCCACACCTTTATATAAAGCAGTATGGTTCAAATTGTGGGGGAATAGTAGCGGCTTATACTCCGGAAAATACGGTATTCATAAAAGACGACTGAAGCTACAAATATGTCACTAGTGAATGATAGTTTTACCATTTGAATTGATTCATGGTGCAAAAATAATCAACACAGGAGTCAAAAGTCGCAAAAATTATCATTTTAGTTTAAACTTAGCCCTGAATAAAAGTAGCTTTTACATTGATGCTAATATTGAGCAGTAAGGAGGTACCATATAACACAAAGTGTGTCCGATTTCCTCTTCAAGCAAGCTGCAACAGCGAGATCCATACAGTTATTGTTTCCTAAGAAACGTCAGCGTGGTCGGACATCCGGTCAGTCCAGGAGGCTTTAATAGTAGGCAATTACTAACATTCTGCAGAGGCGCCTCAAGAATGAGGAGCTCGGTGGAGCCGTCAAAATAAAAGGCTCTACATTACGATAGTTTTTGATTCATGAATAGCTTGCATGGGTACAGCAGATTCAACAATAGATGAAATGTTTTTTGATAGATGGATGAGTTATTCAAAATCTAAAGGGGATGAACAACTTCCAGTGAAGAACTTTGCAGACAACCGAGAGGTTCTCTTTCTACAGAAATGATGGTCTTAGCACGGTGGAGAAGAAGCCTACTATTTAAAGCATGCACCCTAAAGATGACAAAGAGGAATCGCTGCTGGCTCTGCAAATCCCCATAGTCGTATTTTTAACGCCGTCCGTCCAACAGTCCACATGAGTCTTCTCTCTGTTTGCCGTTCCTCTGTTTTGCTTGGTTTCACACCCCAGTTTCAACTTCTCCTCTTCCTGACAATGACAAGAATCACTGTCATTATTACAATGGAATGGCCAGGAGTACGTTGTCGGCTCAGAGATCTGTGACGTGGTTTAACGAGGACCCACTACTCTATTCTCTGTTTCTGGTAAAGTAGCGTGTGTCATCTGATGACTCCATTTTTTAGCTGGAGCATTGACTCAAAATATAGTGAACCAGTGCTAATTTTAAACTAGATTGGGAGAGATGTTTGTATTTTCTGCTAAAATGCACAGTGAAAATGGGAAAGCATACAGTTGTGACAAAAGGTTTTAGGACTGACTGCAACTTGACTGCTTCAGTGTTCTGGCAATTTTCTTTGAGTCTAGAATGTTATAAAATTTAAAATGGAGATAACAAAGATAATAAATGTTGATTAAATTGAGTGAAATCTCAAAAACCTAATTGACAATGTTTAGGATCCCTGCAGCATTTGTAATGATGACCTTTTTGTTTGCTGGGAGACAAATGTTATTCAAGACATAATTTTGAGTTTTTGATTTAATTATAGAAGCAAAACCTTTGCTTAAAAAAAAGTTAGTGGTACTTTAACTTGTTAATCTGAAAGCAAATGTTGTCACTGCTTTGCATCAAAAGGGGTTAATGAGCCCAATCAAGAGCCAGGACCATCCTTTAAAGAACTTTAAAAAAAAAACGCTGAGCCATTCTGTCAATTACCAATGTTTCAAGGCACGGTGCTGAACCATCCTAAAACAAACTAGTCCTGTCCAGAAGCTTTGGACCCTCATTTACTGTTCTTAGCGACTGAAGTCCAGTAATCATTTCTGTCTTGTTGCATCACGGCATTTATGAACATCAACTGTACAATTGGACAACCACTCCCAGGTTGCATTGATTTTCAGTTTAACTGGCTTTAATCATGTCCAGTTTATTTAAAAAGCACCAATCCACAACAAATTTCGTATCAAGGCACTTTAAAAATAGAAACAGTGACTTTCAGTGCAGAGCTTGTTTACGGGTGGCAGCGACAAGGTTTGAGTTTTTCATCAAGCACAGTGAGCTTTGAGCATCAAGAAAGATACTTGATTACCACCAGGACAGAGCTTGATTAGGAATGGCAATGAATAGTTTTTAGGGTTTCTGCACAAGCGGTTAGTTTTGAACTATTGAACGAAGGGGGCAAAGAGGTTATCAATTTCATAGAGATACAACAAGGGCTGGCTGGCTTGCTATACAAAAACAAACTAGAGTTTACTTAAGGGTACACTGTCTGAAAAATACATATTCAGGACTTTAAAAAAAACATATCTTCTCTAGTGTTGCACCAATACCGATACCAGTATCGGGCAGGGCCCCGATCCAGCACTAAAGTGGTGGCATAGGTATCTGCCAGTATCAACAAATAGAGCCCCAATGCCATTTTGAGAGCCAAAAGATTATTCAACTAATGTCACCCATTCCAGGTAGGCAATAAAAAGTTCTACTGGATTCACTTTGTATTAGTCTTTTTCCGGCTTCACTAAGGTAAGAAGCAGCTTGACAAAGCCAATTATTTTACATCCAAGTAGTATGCAGTTTTTCATATATACACACAAACATTGATTTCAAATAGACTGTATCTGTATGGTATCGTTATCGAACAATACTGCACAGCTAGGTATTGGGTATTGGTATCGGGGCCAAAAAAAAAGGCATCAGCTCAACACTACTTTTCACACAGGGAAAGAGTGAATGTTGCACACATTTTGCCCTAAAAACTAAGCCATTAATGTAGTTTAACAGAAAACTGTTTCACAAGGCAAATTTTCCGTCTCTCCAGGACCTGTACGCCTCCAGGACTCTGAGGCGTGTAGGGCTGATCCCTCACACCCCAGCCACAAACAATTTCAAACATTTGCCTCTGGCAGGAGGATGCGGTCCATCGGGACCAAAACCTCACGCCACAAGAACAGTTTCTTCCCATCCGCTACCAGCCTTACTAACAAGGCACAGAGATCCCCGTGACACTGACACTGCCTCTCTTCTTCCCCTGTTCAGGACCTAGAAGCTACACTAAGGTAGCATCTTCAGACCTCCTGCGTTAGATAAAACAAAGTCTACTGTGTATATAGTATATAGCTACATATTGTATATAGTATATTGTATGTTTTATATTGCATATAGCTTTAGATTCTCTATTCTGTATGTTTATCTTATTTGTCAGCACTGTCAACATCAAGTTAAACACTAAAATGTTGACACTCATCAAACAACAGAAGAATTGGACTAAAGGATCAAACTACACTGAAGCAGTGAGGTTTGTCAGTCACAAAACCTTCGGTCACTACTGTACTCCATATTCCAGTGAATGTTATGTACGTTTTCCTGTAAAAGCTCTTGGATTAATGTAAATTTTAGCAGTTTGAACAGCCACTGGTTCCACTTTTTGGGGAAGAAATTCTGCTAAGGTGTGGTACAAGTACTGTAA